TATATATTCTTATTATATATTATCACTATATATTATAAATATATATTCTTATTATATATTATCACTATATTATCATCACTATATATTATATATTATCACTATATATTATTACTATATTCTTATTATCACTATATATTATATATTATCACTATATTATAATTATATATTATCAATATATATTCTTATTATATATTATATATTGACTATATATTCTTATTATATATTATCATTATATATGACTATATAATATTATATTATTATATATTATCACTACATATTATGACTATATTTATATTATCACTATATATTATTACTATATTTACATTATTACATATCATTATATATTATTATGACTATATATTATTACATATTATCCCTATATATATTATTATTACATATTATCACGATATATTATTATATAGTATCACTATATATTCTTATTATTATGACTATATTTTTATTATCACTATATATTCTTATGACAATGTTATTACATATCACTATATATTATTGTTATATATTACTATATTATATATTATTACTATATATTCTTATTATATATTATCACTATATATTATATATTCTTATATATTATAACTATATTATTATCATCACTATATATTACATATTATCACTATATTATAACTATACATTATATATTATATATTATCACTATATATTATATATTGACTATATATTCTTATTATATATTATCACTATATATTATTATGACTATATAATATTATATATTATCACTATATATTATTATTATGACTATATTTATATTATTATATATTATGATTATAATATTATAACATTATCACTATATATTATTATATATCATTATATATTATTATTATGACTATATACATTATTACATATCATTATATATTATATTTATTATATATTATCACTATATATTCTTATATAATATCACTATATATTATTATGACTATATTATTATTATTACTACATATCATTATATATTATTATGACTATATATATTATAACATATTATCACTATATATTATTATATATTATCACTATATATTATATATTATCACTATATATTATTATGACTATATAATATATTTATATTATATTATGATTATATTATTATTACATATTATCACTATATATTATCACTATATATTATTATATATTATCACTATATATTATTATATAATATCACTATATATTATTATCATCACTATATTTATATTATATATTATGATTATATTATTATTACATATTATCACTATATATTATTATTATATATTATCACTATATATTATTATGACTATATATTATTACATATTTTCCCTATATATTATTATATATTATCACTATATATTATGACTATATTTATATTATTATATATTATCACTATATATTATTACATATTATCACTATATATATTATTATATATTATCACTATATATTATTATTATGACTATTTATATTATTATTACATATCATAATATATTATTATGACTATATATTATTGCATATTACCCCTATATATTATATTATTATTACATATTATTACTATATATTCTTATTATATAGTATCACTATATATTCTTATTATATGAATATATTTTTATTATTATCACTATATATTCTTATGACAATATTATTATTACATATCACTATAAATTATTATATATTATATTATGACTATATATATTATTACATATCACTATATATTATTAATAATATTATCACTATATATTCTTATAATATATTTTTATCACTATATATTATATATTATCACTATATATTATCATCAATATATATTATCACTATATTATAACTATATATTATTATACATTGACTATATATTCTTATTATTATATATTATCACTATATATTATTACCGTATTTTTCGCTCCATAAGACGCACTTTTTTTCCCCTCAAAAGTGAGGGGAAATGTCTGTGCGTCTTATGGAGCGAATGTAAAGCTTTACTTACCTGTCTTGGACGTGGGCCGGCAGCACAGCGCGCTCCGCGGTCCAGGAACTTCTATTTCAGGTTCCGGTTTCCGGCGGGACTGAAAGGAAGTACACACTCAGTGTGCACACTTCCTTTCAGTCCCGCCGGAAACCGGAACCTGAAATAGACGTTCCTGGACCGCGGAGCGCGCTGTGAAGCCGGCCCACGCTCCAAGACAGGCAAGTAATTATGGGACAATGGGAGGGGAGACACTATGGGAGAAGGGGAGGGGAGACACTGTGGGAGAAGAGGAGGTGAGACACTATGGGACAAGGGGAGGGGGAGACACTATGGGACAAGGGGAGGGGGAGACACTATGGGACAAGGGGAGGGGGGACACTATGGGAGGGAAAGTGCACTATGGGACAAGGGGAGGGGGAGACACTATGGGACAAGGGGAGGGGGAGACACTATGGGACAAGGGCAGGGGGGACACTATGGGAGGGAAAGTGCACTATGGGACAATGGGAGGGGGGACACTATGGGATCAGAACACTAATGGACAAGGGGAGGAGGGGTTAAAGAACACTATGGGACAGGGGAGGAGGGGTTAACAATCACTATGGGACAGAGGAAAGGGGGGTTAAAGATCATTATGGGACAGGGGAGAAAAAAAAATATTCTGAACAAACTGTCCCATAGTAAGAAACACTATGGAACAGTTTGTTCAGAATATTTTTTTTTCTGGGTTTCCTCCTCTAAAAACGAGGTGTGTCTTATGGTGAGGTGCGTCTTATGGAGCGAAAAATACGGTATATATTATCACTATATATGACTATATAATATTATATATTGTCACTATATATTATTATGACTATATCTATTATCACTATATGTTATTATTGATTATATTATTACATATTATCACTATATATTATATAATATCACTATATATTATATAATATCACTATATATATTATTATGACTATATTTATATTATTATTACATATCACAATATATTATTATTATGACTATATATTATTACATATTATCACTATATATTATCACATATTATCACTATATAGTATTACTATATATTATTATTATATAGTATCACTATATATTCTTATTATGACTATATTTTTATTATCACTATTCTTATGACAATATTATTATTACATATCACTAAATATTATTGTTATATATTACCACTATATATTATGACTATATATATTACATATTATCACTATATATTATTATTATATTATCCCTATAATTATTATATATTATCACTATATATTATTATAATATATTATTATATATTTTATTATATATTATCACTATATAACTATATATTATTACATATTATACCTATATATTATTATGACTTATGACTATATATTATTAAATATTATGACTATTATATCCTTACTATATATTATGACATTATTACTATTACATATTATCCCTATATATTATATTATTATGACTATATATTATCACTATTTTATTATATATTATTATTATATATTATCACTATATATTCTTATATTATAACATTATCACTATATATTATATATTATTATTATTACATATTATCACTATATATTATTTATTATATTATTATCACTATGTTATTATATATTATATTATTACATATTATCCCTATTTATTATTACATTATATATTTATTATTATATTCTTAGTATATATTATGACTATATTATTACTATTACATATTATCCCTATATATTATATTATTATGACTATATATTCTTATTACATATTATCCCTATTTATTAGTATATTATATATTATTATGACTGTTTAGTATTATTATATTATTCTTATTATTATATATTCTTATTATATATCATCACTATATATTCTTAGTATATATTCTTATTATATATCACTATATATATTATCACTATATTATAACTATATATTATCACTATATTATTATTAGATATTATCACTATATATTATTATATTATGACTGTAAAGTATTATATATTATTAATATTATATATGACATATTATCCCTATATATTATCACAATATGTAATAATATAATAATATATAATCACTATAAATTATTATTATATATTATCCCTCTATATTATCCCTATATATTATTACATATTATCCCTATTATTATTACATATCATTATATTATGACTATATATTATCCCTATATATTACGACTATATAGTATTATATTATTTTATATTATTCTTATTACATATTATCCCTATATATTATTATTATTATATTATTATTATTAATAGTATTATTATTATAGTATTATTATATTATTATTATTATTACATATTATCCCTATATATTATTATATATTATTATTATTATATTATTATTATTATTATATTATTATATATTCTTCTTCTTCTTATTATATTATATATTATCCCTGTATATTATTATATTATTATGACTATATAGTATATTATTATTATTATTATATTATATATTATCCCTGCATATTATTATATTATTATGACTATATAGTATATTATTATTATTATATTATATATTATCCCTATATTATATTATATATTATATTATTTATTCTTCTTCTTATTATAATGACTGTATATTATTCTTATTATATATTAAATTATTATATTATTATTATATTATGACTGTATATTATTATTATATTATTCTTATTACATATTATCCCTATATATTATTATTATTATATTATTATGACTATATAGTATATTATATTATTCTTATTCTATATAATCCCTATATATTATTATATTCTTATGACTATATAGTATTATATTATTATATATTTTATATTATTATTATATTATTCTTATTACATATTATCCCTATATATTATTATTATATAAATTCTTCTTCTTATAATAATAATAATAATAATAATAATATTAGGACCTGCTGTCACTGGGAGTCCCCGCCCTGGACCCACTACCTCTGTGCTCTCCCAGCTCTCAGTCTGTCAGTCACACTCTGTCTGGATCCACACTGCGCATGCGTCACACGGTCCCTCCTTTATTACGTCATTTCCGGTATGGGCGCCCGGAAGCTGTCACAGGTCCCGGATGTGGAGTCCGCGCTGAGTGTGAGCAGCCGCTCCGGGAGTAGGGCGTGTCAGACTGTCCGAGCGGTTACCATGGAGATACAGGAAGTCAGTGGCGGCCATGATGGTTTCTGGCAAATCCCGGACACTGACTGAGCATGCGCGGAGCCAGGGGGCGGGGCCTAATGAATGACGTCATATCTCTGCGATCCACAGTCATCCTTCCACTGTCTGCATTCCCTGACACAGTGCGGGGAGCCTGGGAGAGGAGAGTCAGGTATGTCCTGTTACTAGGCAACCGCTACCGTATGATATCTAATATACACCGCTACCGTATAACATCTAATATACACCGCTACCGTATAACCCCTAATATACACCGCTACCGCTAATATACCGTATAACATCTAATATACACCGCTACCGTATAACCCCTAATATACACCGCTACCGTATAACCCCTAATATACACCGCCTACCGTATAACATCTAATATACACCGCCACCGTATAACACCTAATATACACCGCTACCGTATAACCATCTAATATACACCGCTACCGTATAACATCTAATATACACCGCTACCATTATAACATCTAATATACACACGCTACCGTATAACATCTAATATACACATGCAGTATAACCCTAATATACACGCTTCATTATAACACCTAATATACACACTACGGTATAACATCCCCAATATACACCGCTACCGTATAACACCTAATATACACCGTTACCGTATAACACCTAATATACACCGCTACCGTATAACCCCTAATATACACCGCTACCGTATAACATCTAATATACACCGCTACCGTATAACATCTAATATACACCGCTACCGTATAACACCTAATATACACCGCTACCGTATAACATCTAATATACACCGCTACCGTATAACATCTAATATACACCGCTACCGTATAACACCTAATATACACCGCTACCGTATAACCCCTAATATACACCGCTACCGTATAACATCTAATATACACCGCTACCGTATAACATCTAATATACACCGCTACCGTATAACATCTAATATACACCGCTACCGTATAACATCTAATATACACCGCTACCGTATAACCCCTAATATACACCGCTACCGTATAACCCCTAATATACACCGCCACCGTATAACACCTAATATACACCGCTACCGTATAACACCTAATATACACCGCTACCGTATAACCCCTAATATACACCGCTACCGTATAACACCTAATATACACCGCTACCGTATAACACCTAATATACACCGCCACCGTATAACACCTAATATACACCGCCACCGTATAACCTCTAATATACACCGCCACCGTATAACCTCTAATATACACCGCTACCGTATAACCATCTAATATACACCGCTACCGTATAACATCTAATATACACCGCTACCGTATAACATCTAATATACACCGCTACCGTATAACATCTAATATACACCGCTACCGTATAACCCCTAATATACACCGCTACCGTATAACCCCTAATATAAAGTTCACTTTTAATCATTCAAAAGTTTCGGTAGAATTTCTAGATCTAGAAATCTACATCAAAGAGGAGAGGATCTGTACAAAAACATTTAGAAAATCTGTTGCTTGTAATAGCTTTATTCCCTCAGACAGCCATCACAAGAAAACTTGGCTGGACAACATACCTTATGGACAATTCAGACGGATAAGACGGAATTGTACAGAATTGGATATTTGTATAAATCAAATGGAGGAGATGAAAAACCAATTTCTCAAAAAAGGATATGATAACAACATGTTGACTAACGCAATGGATAAAGCCCTGAAATTATCTAGGGAAGAAACATTGATAAGTAAGAATAAGACATCGAAAATGGAGACGGAAACCCCAGCGTTTATCACACAATTTAGCAATCAAGCAGGAAAAATAAAGCATATTCTGAATAAGCATTGGAGAATCCTTAAAGAAGATAGTTCACTGGGTATGATATTAGATGATAGACCAAAGATTTTCTACTCAAAGGCGCCCAATCTCAAAACCATATTAGCCCCAACGATAAAAGAAATCAAACTATCAAGCAATAATCAAAAAGCTGGTGGATTTCGAAAATGTAATAGATGCTCTGGTTGTAGAAACAATCCAACCCAAACAGGTCTAACAAAGAAATTTGAAAACATGAAAGGGGATGAAGAATTTGAAATAAAATCAGATCTAAGTTGCAATACCATTGGAGTTATCTACCTCCTAATATGTCCCTGTAAGAAACACTATATAGGTCGGACAAAAAGAAAGTTTAAAATTAGACTAGGAGAACATATTCGTAACATTAAAAAGGGACTTACTACACATAATCTCTCCAGACATTTTGCAAGTTGCCACTCCAATAATCCAGCAGGTTTAGAATTTTATGCTATTGAAAAAGTGAACTTGCATTGGAGGGGAGGAGACTACGAAAAAGCTCTTGACAAAAGTGAGGCTAAATGGATATTTCAACTTAATAGTTTAGAGCCCTTTGGTTTAAATATTGATTTTGAACTAAATGCTTTTCTTTAATTACTTAATTTTTTTTTTTCAGTGTGTATCTATAACAAATGAATTTTACAATTAATAATGTGTTTATCTTTCTCCTCTTCTCTCTCCAGGTGATTTATAAATCAATGAAATTAATTAAATTTTTTAATAAATTTTTTTTTTTTTTTTTTAATTTTCCAAATTTTTATAAATTTTTAACTTTTTGATAAATTAATTTTTATTTTTTGAATTGCTATACTTTATATTTATATATATTCATAACCCATCCTTAGAGTATTTCTATTATGCAAGAAATTTTTAATCTATTGATCACTGCTTTTGGGATGTATTTGTGAAGGAATATAAGATTTTATAATGTATTTATAATAACCAATATACCACATAATATGTTAGAATTTCTTTAGTATTTGGTTATTTGGTTGTTTGTCCTTTATATATTTTCCTTGTTTTATATATTGCCCCTCTCTATATTGTCCCCTTTTATATTGCCTTTGTATAATTCCCCTTTTTTTTTTTTATGGTTATTAGTTTTCCATTATATATGTGTGGCTAAAAACAAACAATATATCATGTGTCAACTTCTTATATTATTTATACTGATATGAATTGCAACATTGTACATAGACTTAAGGGTTAACGTGATACTAATGAAGACAGACAGAACAAGTATAAAAAGAAGATTGCAGACTCCATGATGCCATCCTCTGATGAAGTGATCGAGAATCACGAAACTAGTAAGGCGGCATCTGCAAACCAATACACATCGGTCCCGAGAGTGAGCACCTCTGACACGCATCCTGAGCCGCAGTGGAACGCACGCGGCTAGAAACCAGCAGCATACAGCACGAGGAAAATCCAATTCACTTCTGTCTGGCCGGCAAGAAAGTGATCTTTTGGGCTCGAGGTCTGTTAAACCTGGTACTGGTGCTATCTTTTTTGTAACTCATGTTTGGGACCCCCTTTTTTATCAATAGCTACATGTGTGTGTAGCATTTTTTATCATTCAATAAACTTTAAAAAGTATCTGTCTGCTGCAGTGGATTTTAACCCTTGGAGGGGCTTGATTCTAACTTTTTACACATATTTACTAGCCATATATATTGGATTCATAACTTATTGGAACTTATATTAGATTAATTTCAGCAGTCCATAGACTCTGCCTTCCTTATCTAATAGGTGGTGATGACAGGACCAGCTGTACATTTGTATTCGAATAAGAGAGCAAACATTAACATTCATTTATTGTGAAGTGCTCTACACATTTCCATTTCCACTAAATCCTATGTATTTTTAATAGATGTCTGAACATGACTGATGTCACATCTTGCTTACTAAAGCATGTTTCGTTTTTCTTAACCAGTGAATTCTTGTCTCTTTTGTAGAACAGTAAATGTCTGTAATTAATAGTGCATTTCTCCTTCACAGAGCTTGTCTGAAGGTTAAATAACTCTACAAAGGGAAATAAGATTGTATGAGCCATCTGACTTACACATTGATGATGGACAAACACCTAGTAAATGAAAGGGTATTGCATTTTGCCCTGGACATCATCTGCCTGCTGACTGGAGAGGTGAGGGCTTTGGCACAACATTTCTATTGTTATGATATGCTATTTAATGCATGTAAGGGACAACATACAAAACAATTTGGGGGGATCTACAATGGCATTTCCTTTGTATATTTAATAGCCCCTATCCGTCATAGGTAAAAATAGGTTGGTGACATTTGCCCCCCATGTTTTATTAATTTAATAGACCTTACCCCCAACCTAGTTATTAAAATTAGAGTCCCCACATGCCACCTGTGGTGGCCTGTCCGCCTAGAAGTTGGAATTTCACCGCTAATGTCCCCTTTCCCCGTGTGTCTATAGTCTGAGTATCGCTGTCTGACCTTTATGTAAACAGAGCAGGATCTGATTTAGTACATATAAATTACCCCTTCAATGGATGCACCATAGCCCAATATAAACCTGTTTGCACTTACTGTATTTATTATTTTATCTCTTGACACCCCATTCATATTTAAGAGTATTTCTATAATATGTAGGATTACATTGTCGTGAAGAAGTCCAGTGACCATACCAGTCTCATCCCTGTGCCTCTACCTCACTCACTAATTCATGAGAGAAACAATGAGCAGAAGATCCTGGAACTGACCAGTCAGATCATCCACTTGCTGACTGGAGAGGTGAGGCTGCTGGGAATGGGACATCATAGAGTAAAACCAAGGGATGTGTCTGGATGGTGACTGTATCGTTGTGTGTGCCAGGTTCCTATAAGGTGTGAGGATTCCACTGTCTATTTCTCCATGGAGGAATGGGAGTATTTAGAAGGACACAAGGATCTCTACAAGGACACGATAATGGAGAACCACCAGGCCTTCAGCTCAATGGGTAAGAGGAGATGTAATTACCATTAACTGGTGATTAAGCATCCTATACTGCAATACAAGATATTTGTAGTAAACACCCAGCAATATATTGTGTGGGAAACACTATGTAATACTGCAATGAATCTCCCCAGTTTAATCTTTGTGTATTTGTTCCAGGTTTATTCAAGATTTCACAAAACATTATAAGCAAAGAAGAGGAGTTTGAGAATTACCCGGGAGACAACTTGTCAAACTCTAAACTCAACAATTGTTTTCAAAATGCAACTAAAGCAGTAGATTCATGCGAAGAAGAAAATGTAGCAAACACTAGTATAGAGACAGACAATCTATATCACATTAAAGAGGAATCAGCCTCACGTGAAGACAGAAATGAAACAGATATTAACACACTCACAGCACATACACAAACAGAATATCCACCTACTCATATTAAGGAGGAACCAGACTTGTGTGAACCAAGAAATCTCACCGGCATACATACGCCGACAGAACATACAACAGTAGAATATCCATCTATTCATATTAAGGATGAATCTGTGTTGTGTGAAGAAGGAAATCTTATAGACACTGCCATTCATACAGTCAAAGAAAAGACACAGATGGTGTGTCCATCTACTCGTAGTAAGGAGGCATTGGCATCACACGAAGACGGAAATTTAAGCAGCATTTACATGTCCATGAAACATAAACATAGAAAATGTGTTTTTACTGATAATGAAGAACCATCCTCAAATCACTGTGAAAAATGCTTTGCTTTCAAGTCATTGCTTGTTGGACATCAGAAATGTAACACAAATGAAATACTTTACTCAAATACTGACCATGGGAAAATGTATAATCCGCAACCAGATCTTGCTGGACAACAGGTATCTCACACAGAAGAGAAACGTTTCTCATGTTCGGACTGTGAGAAAGGTTTTATCACTAAATCAAAGCTTATTTTACATAAGAGAACTCACTCGGGAGAGAAACCTCATTTATGCTTAGAATGTGGGAAGGGTTTTATTACTAAATCATATCTTGCTATACATAAAAGGACTCACTCAGGAGAGAAACCTTACTCATGTTCTGAATGTGGAAAATGTTTTAGCCACAACTCAAGTCTTGTCAAACATCAGAGATCTCACTCAGGAAAGAAACCTTACTCATGTTTTGAGTGTGGAAAATGTTTTAGTCAACAATCAGATCTTGTTATACATCAGAGAACTCACACTGGAGAGAAACCTTTCTCTTGTTCTGATTGTGGGAAATGTTTTAGCTTGCACTCAAGTCTTGTTAAACATCTGAGAACTCACACAGGAGAGAAGCCTTACTCATGCTCTGAATGTGGAAAATGTTTTAGCTGTAACTCACATCTTGTTAGACATCAGAGAACGCACACAAGAGGAACATTTTTGATGCCCTAGTTTGTGTTATCTAAAAATGTAGGACCACAACTATTGGTGAGTTGAGCATGCTGCTCCCCCTCTCAGATTTGACAGTGGCTAAGAAACTCTACCATTTTTAAAACTTAGTACAGCTTGAAGCATGTCCCTTTAGAGCTGTCAGTCAGGCCCCTGTGATTTTCAGTTACACTCTATCTGAGCTATGGACCTGAGCATTTCAGAATATGAAACCGTTTCACAAGGAATACATGCTTAACTGGGATACAGGTCCATTAGGGCAGGACACATACTATTTATAGACTATCACTCAGACATCTTCCCCAACTGCAATTTGCAGAGGCCCTCTTCACATATCTGCAATTTCTTGTAAATAGATGGTGTATTTCTAGGTGTTTTTTATGGCTAATGTATTTTGTTTAGATGTACTTTAGATTTTCTGTGTTATTAAATAATATTTTAGACTTTCATCGGGTTTATTTACTAAAGTGAGAACTAAAAGTGAATTTCAAGCCAAAGCCCATTCAGTCGAGCCAAAGTGAAGGCATGGCTAACTTCGAAAATTTAGCAATTTGGCTATTTTAAACTTAAATTTGAAGTTCACTTTCAATTCTCAATTTAGTAAAAGAATAAATAAATACATAAATAAATAAACAAGAAGCCCGGAAGTGTTTAGCACTTTTTATATTTTTGATATGTTAATGGGTAGAAAATGATATGTTTTGTTCTTAAGATTGGGGTTCCTTTTGACAATGTTATAAAGTACCACTACTTTGCCATGGCAAGTTATGATCAATACTACAGGCCTCTTCCCTTAGCTTATATGGTGTTTTATTTATTTACATGGGTAATGTGTTTGATTCATATTACTACTGATTCGTTCTAGGTCTCTTCCCTGTTGCTCACACAGTACTGTAGGTTCAGATTACAATAAATATAGCATCTATTAATAATTTGTGGTAGGCCATGTAATTACTGTAATGAGAAACAAAAAAAGAAAAAACTGTTGTTTAGTGTTTGTGTTTTATATGTTATGGTCTGTAAATTAAATCTAAAACGTTACTGGTTGGAGTGTTCCTCTATTTTCTTTTATTTATTTTGGATATTTGTCGTACAGCCGAGCAGTAGATGGAAAACAAATGAAGAATATTTTTAGATAAGCGTCACAGTTCATGTATATGACACAGCTTGTTATCTAGAGAGTCTAAATAGACTTACCATCATGAGTTAGTCATATAGACAACAATGCATACATCTTCAGAAACATCTCTAATTATTAGTGGTCTTGAATCATGGTCTAGCCAATAATCACCTACATAAAGCCATGCGACGGGGATCAACACGGTATTTGACATTTACTGATCGTAAATCGGTTTAACCAAAACTGCTTACTCAGATGTCTTTAGTGCACCATGCTTCAAATGTGGAATTACCAACTGAAATACTTTTGCCATACATTTAGTCTCTGTACGAATTTAGTCTCTTGGATGGCCAACTTCTCTAGGCAGCGTAACTTAGTCCTAATGAAATCCAAAAACACTATAGCCAGGATACTGCGTGGATCCTCCCAACAGATAGGGGAGCTCCATGGATTGCACTTTATCAGCCTCCAACCTTGGCATTCCTGAAGATTCAGCCAGGGACTAGTGACTGTCTCCAGTTTACACCCCAAATTGTAGCTGAGCCCTAGAGATGTAATATTTCCGTAAATTTTGATGTAATGAAAAAAACAGTTTTTTGGAGTTTTCTGAAAATTTGAAACAATTTAAAAGTCATTTTGTTACAGTTGGAACATAAAATGCAGTATGTCTAGAACTCCTGGGCCTCACAAGTTAATATTACTATTGTGGGTACACCTCTGGGGATATTTGGAGAGGAACGTCTCTATGCCTTCCATCCTCTCTAATACTCTATAACTTGGGTACATGCCAGTCTATACCCACATAGTCCTATCTTTGGACCTTGGGACTTCGTTTGTTCTGATCCCTTAGTCCCCTTTTTCTTTTCTTCTTATGTCTAGAAGTAATATGCTTGAAATCAAACTGGCTTATTATTTATTTACTTTATAAGTGGGAACTCTTACTACAGTTTATTAGAAAACTTTTTATTAAGCTCGTGTAGGCTCTTCACCTACTGTTCCTGTATGTCAAACATGTTTTGTTAGATTTCATAGTTTGTGTTGTTTTTACCTGTTATACAGAGTTGGAAATATGTTATCGCTATAAAAATAATTATGATTGTTACAAATGGAACTGCAAAATCTGGATATGTTAAAAAGTGTGAGGAACCTCTTCTGCCAGTACACAAGAAATGCAACTCCCCAAGCAGTGAAAATCCAAATAAACCACCAACATAAACTAAGAATATTATTTCATCTCCTCTAATCTTCCAGTGATTCATAACACTAAACAGAGAGAGAGCGCTCATTTCCACCAGAGGGACACTCCAGGCTTAAGCTCGCTGAAGTCCTTTAGAGGTATGTAGGAGGTCCTCCCAAAAAATTGAAAGAGACGGGATCCGTGTGAAAATGGGTGTAAAACAGGAATAAACACCACCTCCACACTGATCCCATGCACCAGGAGGGCACTCAAGCAATGCCCAAGGGCTTAACTGGAGATAAAGATGTAGGCACCAAAGCGGTGTGAAATGTTTAGATTCAGATTCAACACCGTTAACATTGAAATAAGTTTTTTCCTTACCCTTTTCCAGCACTGTGATTCTCTAATTTTAGCTGCCCGCTCCTCCTCGAATGTGATGCTTCTCCATCTTCTAATCCAATCCAATTCTTTTCATAGAGAAGCATTGGGCATGAGGGTAGCATTCGGAGGAGGTGATGTGTGAGAGCGCCTTTAGTAATTGTCAGATAGGTGTGTTTAGCCCTGCAATTAATAGCAATAGAAACATGCAGGGTTAACATGACCGGGCCAATGCACCTAGACCACTTCATTGAGATGTAGTAATCTGGGTGTCTATAGTGTCCCTTTAGGGCCCAGCTGAAAGGACAAAAATGATTCCATTAACTATATCAACATGATGGAGCCCACAAGCAAAATAAAAGGAAATGGTTTCCTGCAGCACCCACTAGAAACAGAAATGCATATTTCTCTTTTTATTTGAAAATAAAGTCTCTACAAACAAGCTCACTAACACACATACACACAGACAGAAGGGGACTACACAAAAGGTTACTACACAGAAGCTCACATACACACAAGCTCACTGACACACATAAACACAGACATACATACACACATGCTCACTGACACATACACACACAGACATGCATAAATTCTCACTGACACACAGACGTACATACGCACAAGCTCACTGACACACACACGGACATGAATACACACATGCTCACTGACACACATACATACATGCTCACTGACACACATATACACAGACATGCATACATACACACATGCTCATGGACACACATACACAAAGACATACAAACATACATACACGCTCACTGACACACAGACATGAATACACACATGCTTACTGACACACATACACACAGACATGCATACACACAAGCTCACTGACACACATTGTAACAGTTTAACAGGAGTTGGAGCCCAGTTGCAGGAGATGGCACAAGGAGGAGGCAAAAACACAGTACAGATAAAGGGTTAGCTCATGACCTAGGTCTGCATGCCAGTCTCTCATGAACCCACAGGAAGGCTCTGTTTTGTCTGCTGTTATGTGTTTGTAGCAAATTGATAGGGTTTTCTGATGTCGGGTCCTGTTCATACACAGGCCAAGATGATTTTTTGGTTGTGAGTGTGGACTTGAGTTCCCTTTAACAGTGTTTTCAGTTGTAGGTATGGGAATGTTAATGGGTACAGAATGTAAAATGATGTACAAGGGTACAGTAAAATGCACTGTGAAAACAAAACTATTGACAAGAACCTAGTGCAACACCATAAAGTGTATGGGTAACTAAATAGCAGTTTCGTGATTAGGTACTCGGATGAATATGGCTCAATATTAACGTCTGTGGTATAGTTGTGAGGGATCCCACTGTGGTGACTGTTGTTTCGTCCTTTATCTGAGAGACAGGCAGTGTGGAGGTTAAAAAAAATAATCTTTTAATGAAATAAAAATCTCTTACAATAAAGTCCACTTTGGGTAGCAAGACACCTTTCGCCTATATTATTGTGTTATTTTATGGCTCCATCAAATTCCACAGTGCTTTACAATGGGTGGATGAACAGACATGTTGGACACACAGGAACAGAGAGGTTGAACATAATTTAGCATTCTGTACCCAAGAACCAACGATACTCCACATATGGTGGATGTATGTTATTTGATTTTGTATGGGTAGAGAGTAACTTAATATTTGGGTTGCACACTTTGACTCTGTATGTGAGGAACTGACTCTGCTGGGTTTTGAACCCTGGTTTACATGCTGCTAAACCTCTTCCTTACCAGTACACCAGCCTGCTCTTTGTAAATTTATCTGAGATCTGATAATCTTGACTCTACAAGCAATGATATCAGTGACAACTCTCTTCAGCTGTGTCTGGTCAGGTGTCTGGTTCTTGGCCTATAAAAGCCACTTCCTGTCTATGTACCTTTGCCAGATTATTGTGGTTCCTGTTTCTCTTACCTGTTGCTGAATTTGGACTGTTTTGACTTTGCTGCTTCTCCTTCCCACTGACCTCGGCTTCCATCATTACGATTATCATCTTTCTGTTCCAGTCTCTCATCTCTGCTTAAGACCAGACGGCCACTCAAGGCTCAGGGGCTCAACCACATGGGTAACGAGTGGCTACCTCTGGCAGAAAACATTGCTGATCTGGCTACTGGACTCCAAAACTTTGTAACATCAATATCATTAAACTGTATTTATATTTTTCCTATGGGAATGTTAATGACTATGGCAGTGAGTATGTTTCCTGTAGCTCTGGGAACAGTTTTATTCCTTTCTCTGTATATAGCTGGTGTATGTGTGTTAGGCCGTGGTGCTGCCATTTACTGTGATTAAAAGTATCATTGTATACCTGAAACAA